GCCTGAGCTTCGGCGCCGGCGACGGCAATGCAGATCAAACTCAAAAACAACAAAGCCTGACGATCCATCGTTTGTGGTCAGAATCAGAAGAGGGCAGAGAAAAGTTTAGAGTTTGAGAGGGAAATCAAAAGGAGGACAGAATAAATAGGCAGCTGCAGAAATGAAGGGCATTTTAGGTAATTTCGCATCCCATAAATAAAATAAATTAAACGTAAGGAAGGAAGAATTTCTGATGATCAACGACATGACATGGCCAACCGCCACCCGCCACCAAACAGATCTGAGGAATCCCAGTTGTCGTTGGGACCCGGGACAATGTAGTTATGGATCAAGATGGATTAAGATAGTGCGATGTGTCACAACAAACTCGAGGATAGATGCAACCTTCCAACAAATAATAATTATTAATTATGGTCGAGTTATGTTTACGTAAATAAAATTAAAAGTATCATATAGTATCGTGCAATATAATATTGCTTTATTCACTATCTATCACTTCAACCTTGTGTAAAAATAATTTGAGATTTAACCATTTATATAAAATATTTATAAAAAAAAAACCATAACATTAACGAAGAAATATAACAGAACATTTCTTTCCAAATCTCCTATTCACGTTTGCTAATCCCACTTGAAAAAATTTATAGTACCAAGTATCATAACTTCTTCTATTCATTGCTTGTTACATTACCATAATAACGCCGAGTCAATTTTTTTCATTTATCGTGTGAACAAACTGGAGTATTCTCGTAGTATCGGACTTTTTCTAGTCGCTCTCGGAAGTTTGCCGGTCACGTCAGCTATCTTTCTTTTTAATTAAAAAAGAAAAAGACAGAGAAACAACAGTGCATTTGCATAATTTTGATTGGGGATGGGACCTTCCACGTGCTGCTCCACGATTAGAACGATTCATGTTTAAGTAAAATTATTGCCATCACCAAATTTTCTCTCTTTTTTCTTTCTTTTCTTCTTTTTATAATTAATGTAAAGAGCATGATAATTTAATAAATAATAAAATTAATGCCATTTAACGAGATTATTGGAGTGATTATAGGTATGAGTTCACAGACTTCTCACTTGAAAGAAAAACGTGACTCATCCTAGACGAATCTATGTATACTCAATAAGCTTTACTTTACTTTTTCCATTGTAATCTATTTTTAACTTTATATTAAAAAAAAACAATGCTAATTTGTATATTATTTTAGTTTAACAAATGGCACCATAGCAAACAAATTAAATCATCAATTTTTAGTATGCTAAATAGGTGTCTTACTTACCAAATTTTGTTCGATTCCAATTGATCATATTGGTATAGTTAAAGAAGATTACGGGAGTTCAATAATCTCACATGTAATTTATGTTCCTACATAAATCTATTCAGGGATTTTTATAATTTTTTAAGGTTATTCAATTAAATGAATATTATTTGAAATAATAGATGTTTGGAAATGGAAGAAATTTTGTGGTTTGTTGGGAAGACTATTTTTACAAACCAAGTAGTTGCTTATGTTTCTAAAATTATCATAGGTTAGTTTATAAATGTTTAAATTATACCATGCTTAAAATTACAATTCAATGCTCGTGCAAATAAAAATACAAATCATTTAGAAGAATGATTTGATAAAAACAAAAGGGAAATTTTTAAAATTAATTAATCAGGGAAACATGTTTCTCGTGGATTTTTTTTTTTTTTTCATCTTAAGATCTATCGCACAAGATTACGAATTCATTAAGTTTATATTAAGAGGAGTTTCTTTATTTAGCATGTGATTGATAAAGCCTCTTAACGTATCTTCAAGTATAAATTCTTTGTCAATTTAATTTAATAGTTTTATAGTTTTGTCTATAACATTTAGTTGTTAGAAAATTCGTCTCAGTTTTAAATCTATTTTTCTAAAGTATTTTTATTTTTCCGGTTGGTATGTCAATTTAAGAAAATAAAATTTAATATCAAAATCCTTTTTAAGTCATTCTTGTACTCACAGTTTATAAATTTTCCACTATTTGTAGGCTAAATATTCCTTCATTTAGTAAATTCTTAATTTGATCTTCTTTAAAATTCTCAATAAATTATTTCCACCAACAATTTATTAAAATTGTTAACAAAAAGTTGATAACTTATTAAATTGTCGTCTTATTAACATATGATTTAGACACATGAACATGTCACTTATATGTTATTTGACGCGTGAAACTCAATATATATTTATTAAAAAAGAAACATTTTTCCATCTTACATGTCCATGTGGAATTTCACGTTTCTAATTAGATTAATGAAACAATAGCTTAACGACCTATTAATTCTATGTTGATATATTAAAATGACTTAATTAAGAACTTTTAATAGGTTTAGAATAAATTTGAGAATTTAAAAGGTTAAAAGGATAAAACTGAAAAAAACTCCAAAGATTGGGAACAATTGGGTATGCTTAGGAAAAAAAAAAGAAAAAAGATACAAAAGAATATGATTACACATTAAATGAACCAATAAATAAACTATACAGTATACATTAACATCAGACCAAGCACAAGCTGTGTTTTCGTACGAGGTTCCTTAATGTCAAAATAAAAAATAAAAAAAAAATTAAAAACTTCCAAGAAAATCGAAAAATGGAAACTTTACTTTTAATACAATCTGAGCTATAATTATTAGTATCATGCGTGGGCCCATACGGTGCGTTCCATATTGGCAAAACCCTTTGAGGCAAATTTGAATCGTACGCAAAGTAAGACGGAGCGTTTGGTGAACTCTGTGACGTGTCGAGCTGTGATTCGGTGGCGGTCGGTGATGGTGACGGTGACGGGTGAAAGACATGCAAAGGTCAAAGTGTATGATTAAAGGCTTGGTTAATGGTTATGGTTAGGCCATGATGATTTGCGGTAAAACCAAACCAAACATATTTGATTAGGGTTAATAATTTTACCGTGGGGTCCACCGTGGTAATTTTTAATTTTAATTATGAAAATGATTGACTCCCGTTACAAACTTGATTGTATGGTAATTAATCAACTTTGGAAAGTGAAGTTGTGGATCTTGGTCCAACTAAAATTTGATTGCCAATTCCTAATTAGCACAACTTTTAAATTAAAAAGGAAAAGAAGAGAAAAATAGTTTCTGTCTAAACCGAATCACTTGAGAGATTCTTGTGGAATAAATAGAAACACGACATGTGAAATAATAGTGAGCACTTCGATATTCAAGTCAGTCTCAAGTTGATGTAATTTATGTGTAATTTACGATCAAATTCGTGCATACTTAAAAGTAGAATTACCTCTAGTATTTATAGGTGTCATACAGTTAGAATCATGCATCGGTCACATCGCATGTTCCGTAAAGAACGATGTGAATCTAGCATTAGTGAAGAGAGGAGAGTTGAAGAGTCGTTTTCCTTAGTTCGACTGGTTGGCCTTTGTTCTTCAAAAATAGGCTGATCACTAATGTTAAAGTATAGATCGACATTGGTGTTTCAAAGCATGTTAAATCAGACTTCTTACTTATCCTCCAATAACATGTGTCATGTCATTATCCGTCAATCAACAAACTATATAAACAACATTATAAAAGTTGAAGTTTATTTAAGTTTAGGTTTAATTTTATTAACAACACATTTTATTTATCTCCTTGGTTTGTGTTGCTTTTCGATGATTTTATTTATTTATTTATTTATTATTATTTATTCGTGAACCTCCAATTTTGAAACAAATAAACAAACCTTAATCGATTGAGCTATGTTCATATCAATACCTTTATCTTATTGAATTTTTTAGTCTTAAATTTTTTTATTTATTAGTACAATTTTCAGATAGACACTGAAATAGCTAATTTGACAGTGTCTTATCTTTTATCTGGTATATTTTAAGAGTTATATTTGTTTAACAACTATTTTCTTTATTTTCTAATACAAATTTTTCATATATTTTAAATGTTATCAAAATTTAAAAACTAAAAAAAATAATATTTTCAAAATTTTGTTTTGGTGTTTTTGAAATTTAACCGCTATGTCACAAGTACATTCAAATAGGAAAAATACAATATAAAATGAGCAAATTTTCATGAGCAAATATATACATATTTTAAAATAAAAAGACAGCATACCTATTTAGAAATGAGCCGAAGACTCATAGGTAGGTAGTGACTTGGAGTAACAAATATTTGGAAACTCTGTGTAATTATTAATTTAAAGCTAATCAAAATTTTTGCCATGAAAAATATAAAGGCCAAAACAAGTACAATTTTTTATTTATTGCCTTTTGCCCGTATATTATAAAACCAACCAATTAAAGAGTGATACTTCCTTTTAAATCAACATAGCAAAAATTAACACTCAATGAATGATACCCTTATCTATTTAAAACATTTACATTATTTTAGTTTAATAAGGTTATTATTAATTGGGAAAATTAAAGCTTTCATGTCAATTAGAATCCAGGAGGATCATGAGTTTAAGAACAAGGACAATGCTAAATGCCATTAGATATGTTGGGTAGACTTAGGCCTAAAAATAATAATATATATTATTGTATCCATAGAGATAAAAGAAAAAAAAAAGTTTTGTTTTTTTGGTTGAGAAAAATAACTTGTCTTTAATTTTTGAATTGCAAAGACCACACATTAACTAAAAAAATAACATGACATAGCTAGAGCTATTAGACTAAATAATGTTTTCTAATTTAGTATGGCCTCATAGACAAATAACCGAAGGAAGTCAACATCAAGCACAACTAGAAAAAAATGTACAAGTTGTTACAATTATACTCTCGAACATTTGATCAATCACCCTCTTGAACTTACAAAATGTATAATTGTGATTTGAACTATAAAATTGTTATAATCAAACCCTCAAATTATTCCTCAAATAAAATCCTCAAATTATAGAATTTGTTACAATTTGAAACGATTTTTTTAACTCTATAAAATTTGCAAATTATAATGTTAACCATATCGATGTTAAGCCAACCACATCTCAGTTTAAGAGGAAAATTTTTTATTTTAAAATTTTGGGTTTAATGGTAACAATCCTATAATGGGAGAGTTTTCAAATATTCAAAGTGTTTAATTACAACAATATTATATGTTTAGTTGGGTGATTGATCAAATTAAAAAATTGAGAGTGTAATTGTAACAAATTACAACCCCTACCATTTATGATGGTTTTTGCAATTTTTATAAAATCAGGACGTATTTAGGAATGATGGTAGAATTATTTATTTTGGGAAAAAGACATTTGAGTATAATTGATTTTTCAAAATTGTCATCTAAATGATACCTTAAAAATCTATTTACAGTGATTTTAAGTTTTCCTAAAATCAATTTTCTAATTTATCAAACATGATTCATGAAAAAGAAAGGAATTTTGACACTAAAAAAAATGATTTTGACCCTGTCAAAATAACTTCCAATCATACTTTAACAGGAATATACATTACATATACTATATTGTTCCAAACATATAGTTAACTTTAATTTTAATTTTACGGTTGGTAAATATACAGAAAAAGTTTCTACTAGTTACAAATAACTTTTATGAGAGTCATTTCGACGAAAGAGTGATGGTTTATCAAACAAATTTTTTTAAAAAGTTCCGAATAGAAATCATGAAAAATGTATATGGGAAAAAAGTTCAAAATGCTCCCAATGATGAAATTGAGATTAAATATCAATTTTAATCTTTACATTTCCAATATTTTGATTTATTTTAATTTATATAATATTTTAGTCTTCTCATTTTTCATTTTTATATCACTTCAATCATAATTTTAACACAATAATATTTTACTCGTTAAGTTTCTTGAAATGTAATCACAAATTTGTGTTAAAAGGTTTCCATGGTGTATAAAAGTTATATTAAAACTTTGCAAATATAGACTAAATCGATCACTTCTAAAAGTACAAGAATATCCAAACAAACATTTTGAAAGTACAAAAATCAAAATAAACAAAATTGAGAATACAAAGGTGAAGGAAATATACTATCCAAATGAACTGAAGCAAAAAATACACCAACTTAAATAATATTTATTTAAACAATAGGTTGGTATTAAAATAAAAAAAAAAAAGAGGAAACGAAATATAAAAAGAATTTAAAATGTGAGAACAGCCACGGCAGAAAATAAGAGAAAAAATAAGAGAAAAGTTGTATTATTATTAATACGATGATGGAAGGAAAAGGGAAAGCCAACGTAGAGTGAAAGCAATGGGAGAGCCATTTCAGTTGGGCTGTCTAATCAAACCTATTTTACAATTTCTTTTTCTTTTTCATTTTCTTCAAATTTTAAATATAATTTGCAATGCTCGTGGTTACATTTATCAAGACGGAAATTATATATATTTTGACGTTGATTAACTATCATGAAGATGGTTTTTCATGACTTTTTTCAACGGCCATTAATTAGATTTTCTATAATGTTTTTTTTTTGCCCGGTAAATCTCTTTTTCATGATGTTTTTAATTGTTATTAAATCTTTTTTCCGTGAAATTTATAATTAGGTCACGAATAACTTTTCGTGATGAATGATACAATAATACCAAAAACTAAAATTTGTACAATGATTGAGTTTTTTTTAGCTGGTAAAGAATTTTATTTAAATATTGAATTTGAAATATTACTTAAATTTCATAAGTACACTTCTAATTGATTTGAATAATTTGAGGGTTTTTTTAATGGTTGATTACCATAGAAATGACTGGACAATTAAAAGTAATGATGACGTGGAAATAACTTTGAATAATAATTATTATTATCTTGACTTATTATTCTTTTTTTGTTTGGCTCATGTGACATATTCTCTCTTTACCATCTCTCATTTTTGTTATTGTGCACTTCTTCTTCAAAGTGTGTGTATGGAAGTCTCTTTATATGCATTCATTATCAATGGCGAAACCTTTCTTTAGAACTCGGCCATCAACCACGTCTATGGCAACAATGTTAAAGGTTCAATTTCTTATTGTAATTTTCTTCAATTATTTTGTACATCTTGTGATCTTGATATTTCATATGATTTTCTTTCGTGTTTATAAATTCTTGAATTTATTTCTCTAGGTGAAAGACTTTTGAAATTTATAATTTATAATCTCGTTTAGTTCCATTTGTGTTTTGTGTTTATGAGATCTTCTAAAGGGAGTTGAAGAATTGAGATGTTCATTAATATATTTTTTTTTTTTGAGAAATTGTTAAATTGATCGTTAGAATCACTATAACTAAAGTATTGTTTATGAATGAGAGTGGTGGATTAAAAAACAATTGAACTATTCTTCAGCTACATACTAATTATACTAGCACACAAATTAGATTAGATAAATAAATGATAATGTGACTTTGTTTTTCTTCCTATTTTCTCAATTTCTCAATTGTATTTCAAGTTTGCTATGTAGTCTCTTTCAAATCATATAAAAAAAATCAACTCAAAGCATGGCTAAAAAAATTAGAGACATTTAATCCGTCTAAAAAGTCAGACATTTGAATATTCATTCTGTATTCGACTGAAAAAATTAGAACCAGAATGAACGTACTCAATGGTAATTGACATATACTTTCAACAACGTAACATGTATTAAAAAAAACAAAAACAAGAAAAATGAAAGATAAGCAGGAGCATTAATTTTTTTTATCTTTAAGAATTGAAGGACAAAAGGTAAAATTATATCCAAACCTTAAGGCCGAAAATAAATTGGGCCTGAAAATAGATGAACAGTTAGATCAAAGAAATGGAGGGAAAGATCGCGTGGGCCGAAGAAAGTGCTATTTTCAGTTGGACCAAAATTGGGCCTTTAGGCCCAATCCAAAACAGCACAAAAAGCCCAGAACCAAACTGATGGCATTGTTGTAATAACGATGAAGCTGAATGGATTTTAAGGCGCGTTCAGAATTTCGGACTTCTCGTTCTCGGTCGCACCGCTTCTGCACCTTCGCTCTATCCGTTCGTGTTACCAGTCCTCAGTCTCTGGCCATGGCTTTCGTCTCCACATTTTTCTCCGGCGAACCGGCGCTGCTCGTCGCCAGAGCTTCCGCCTCCTCCCTCAAGCACGCTCCTCAACTCCCTCCGGCTAATTTGCGCTTTGTCCGCCCCGTGACCTTCGCCACGGCGTCGGACCAAGCCACTGCCTCCCGCCGGAAGCCTCGAGGCATTATGAAGCCCCGGAGCATATCGCCGGAGATGCAAGCGCTCGTCGGCGTTCCGGAGATTTCCCGTACCCAAGCCCTCAAGGTCATTTGGACTCACATAAAAGAACACAATCTTCAGGTATAATCTCTCTTCCTCTGCTATTTTTCCGTTTTTTTTTCCCTTCTCATGTTGTATTCGATTCTTCTGTCAGTTTTACTAGTTAATTAGAAGATAAGGCTTCTGTTGGGTGAAAAACGCCTTGTTCTGAAATGAGGGCTTTGGGTGTTGGTCTCTAAAATTTCTCTGCGTGTCCTTGTTGGAGTGCGATTTTATGATCATCGGATGAATTTCTACAGCTCTTAGTGCATTGTTTTGAGTTTTACTAGATTTTGTATCCTTGTTGTTGAGGTTCATAGTGTGGTGATGGGTGCCCTGCGCTGCTCTGGCAAGATGTCTGAAAAGCTTAAGCTTTCATTGTTTAGGGCTTTCTTGTTAACTTTTGAATAAACTTCTTTAAGCTCCAAAGTTTGTACTCTTTGATGTTTAGAAAGGTTTATACTGAAATGTATTGTTGATTTTTTCCTTGGTGCTTTCGAGTGATGATTTATACGTTTTTCTATTTCTGTTTTTTCAAGAGATGTTCACAAAATGAATACATCTTCCTGATTTTTGCATTTGTTGTTGAAAGACTTGGAACAGTTCTAGAAAAGCTTGGGTTATTTCTTTGGTTTTCAGTAATCTCGAAAGTTTAATCCTTCCATTTCAGTGCAATTCTTAATCACAAATATCTTCTCGTTTTGCTTTTACTAGTCTGCTTCTTTATGCATCTTCCAGAATTATGAACTCACATAAAGATTCTAATTATATCATCTCTTTGTGCATTCACCATATTCTCTCATTGCATAATTTTTACACAAATTCCCTCTACATGCTTTCTCTTATGACTCTATAATTTCTTTGCTCTCTCTTTCTCTCTCTCTAGGCATTTCTTTCTTATTTGACTCTCTTCATAAGCTCTCTAGTCTCTCCCAACTCTATCTCCAAACATTCTCCCCCCTCTATGCACTTTCTCATCCAATTCCATTTATCCAAAAACTTGCTCACGGTTCTATATTCCTTGGCACATTCTAACCTCCATACTTGATATCTCCAAATACGTTTTTTTCCTCTCTAACTGACGTTTCTCAGCCCTTGCTTTCGTAGCTTTTATTAACTAAGGACTATGGACATTCCATAATTTTGTCTTGTCATGTATGTTGACGATATAAACTTCAGTTCCCTGAGTTCTCTAACATTCCTTCACTAAATTTGCCCTTTCTTTGGCTAAATATTGAGTATTTTTCACACACACACCAAAAGAAAACATAATATCTCACTAGAATTCAGTGGTTAAAAGTACAGAAACCCAAAGTCAAGTCTGCATGGTTTGGTTCTGACTCTGTTGTTCATTCTTGTAGAGACCCGACAACAAGAAGATCATAGTTTGCGACGAGAAGCTGAAGAAAATATTCGGAGGGAAAGATGAAGTCGGGTTTTTGGATATTGCAGGGTTAATAAGTCCCCACTTTCTATAATATTGCTCAAGGTATCGAAAACCGACTTCTAGGATCCTTCAGTTTAGTCCCTTAAAATGAAGTTTCTTTTTTGTTGGGGGAGTCTCAATCTGGTTGATATGGATGGCTGCAGTTTCAGAGCCCCCCTTTATGCTTGGTAGCAGTTGCATAGAGAAGAAGCTTTTGCAAGAACTTTGTTTGGAGGTTTTATGTAGGGAATTGTTATATGGAAATGTTTGTTAGCCATTAGTTTTGGGTAAAAGTGCTTTCACTTTTGTGCTTGCATTTGCCCCTACTTTGGTGTTGAGAGTAGCTTCATCTTGTTTGCGTTCATGTTTGACGAATCTCGATTTTTGATGCCAGGAAGAGGGGTACTTTACAAATAGGGGTAATTGCTTCGCACCTTACTGTTGGTTCTATTTCTCATGTCCCCTTCCCAACAATTTATAATTTTTGGATATTAACATACCCTATCCAATATATTCATCCTATAGGTTTATAATTTTTGGATATTAACATACCCTATCCAATATATTCATCCTATAGGTTTTTAAGAGAATTTGAAAAGTTTTAATTGTGAAAAAATAAATGAAAGGAAAAAAGAATACATAGAATCTAAAACTTGAGAGAGCTCCGAGGGGATTATATTAATAGTTTGAGTTTTATTTTAATAAAATTTTAAAAGGTTTTAACCATGAAGAAAAAGATAAAAGTAACAAAATTTGAAAGGTATCAAATTAAAATTATAAATTATATTTACTTAATACTAAAGTATTAAATTTTCGTCACATGTCGATATTATATAAAAGAAATATCAATAAAAATCACTAAGACATAATATTAATAATAAAAGTTTTCATTTATTTAAAATTGTGAAAGGCTTATCTATTGATTTAATTTTTTTTTATTTTCATAATTTTCTCTAAAAATATGCCTCTACATTTTATCAATATTATGTCATTTCCATAAAATTGAAACCTTGATATTTTATTGAAACCTTGATATTTCTATCTCGAACTTTGCTAACTACATTTGAAATTAATAATTTTTAAGCGGTTTTATATAATTAATAAAAAAATGAATCTTTGTACTATAAGTTGATTTAACTAATTATTTTAATATAGTAATTACTTAATATTTTCAAGAAATACTTAATTTTATTAGTTTAATATATTTCTATAAATAAAATAAATCAAGTACTTATTTTAATAAATGGAATAATTATTTTTAACTTATTAGCTCTGATAGTTCTATATTAATATAATACATTATTATTAATTAATTTTAATAGTTATATTGATTATAAATTTTATATTTACTAATTATAATTGAATATTATAAATAAATATATTAAAAAAAATAAGATTTTAAATTCTTTTTGTCCACACATATTCTAGAGAGATTTTCCAAATTTAAGTACAAATTGCAATGCAAAACAGTTACTAATCTGATGAAATTATAAGCTTAGTGCATTAAAATCACTACAATATTTTAAAATTTAATTTCAAAATAATATTTAAATAAATAATTAACTTTTTTACAATATTAAAAATAAATAAAAACCCTAGTCTTCAGTGTGAAAATTGAAATCCAATTTCTACTGAGAAACGAAATCCAGAGGGAGAGAGACCACAGCTTAAACCACTGCAAAATCTTGAGAGTGGCCAAAAATGGCGGACATGGTCGCACTTCCGCTCCTCCTCCCCAGTCCAGTGCCCTCTAAACCCCTCTTCCCCGTC